GCGGTGTCCGATTGGGAGCGTTTTCCGTCATGGAATAGCAGTCGCGTCAACACGCGACGGTTTTCCCTATGCTGGGGTGGAACGATGCTTCACCAAACACCGCGAAAAAAAAAGCGCGAACACTATCGCATCGAACTAGCGAACAACTCGAGAGAGCGTGTAAAAACGCTAAAAACCGAACTGTACTGCTTGACGGTCAAGCAGAGAATGGGTGTGTTTTTCACCAGAGGAGCAACACAATAGTTGGGTAAAGCAGAATTGCATTATAATACACCACCGTCCGATTAGCGGTAAGCAGGGTGGCAAGTGAATTTCCATTTTGAAATTCCTGGTTTTAAAAACTATGTATTAAAAAAAAAAAAACAATTTTTAATAAAAAAAATCATTCTTCGTGCAATGAGGAATTTTACAAACCAAAATAGGTATTGAGGTTCTTGTGAATGCCCTTGAAATCTTTATCTGATTGTTTGCTGTAAAGAAGCTAGTAGGGAGCCGCGCTACTTCGTCGTATCATGGCGCCTATTTCCGTTCTATGTGCTAAAACTACAATAGCAAAGCGTTTTCACTCATGTTTTTGCAAAAACATCTTTGCTTACAAGATTAATTACGATTGACACTGAAACATTTGCGATAACCCGTAAAATGAGCGATTTTAGGGGTGTATGACGAAGAAAAGCTGAGATACGACGGACTAGCCCTATCTAATGTCTGAAATTTAGAGATCTATAAGCCCCTAAATCTTGAGATTTCTGTTTTTGAAACCGCGATTTTTTTAACTTTATTATTGAGATTTTTAGCCCGGGCTAGTTTATCTCAAGGTGAAATTGCGAAGTGTGATATGAATGAGGACTCTTTAAACAAACCTTTGCTTCTAACAATTTTACGGATTTCCAGTTTGTTTAAATTTTCCGCAAATTGTCAACGATTAAGGATCTTACTTAGCGGAATTTTGATTACAACATGATTTCAAAATCATATGATTAAAATATTTCTTAAACAACGCTGGTTTAATAACTCTTACTATTAAAAAGACTGACTGCTGAAGTTCATGGAAACTCCCTAAAGTTCGTAGAACTTCCCTGAAGCGTTAAGGTCTTTCCTAAAGGGTTCATTGAAGTTTGTATTGCCTGAATTTCATGGGACTTCCCCAAAGTTCGAAGGACTTTTTTTAAGATCTTAGGACTTTCCTGAAGTTCGGAGTTTTTTGAAATTCATAGGAATTTCCTAAATATCGTAGAAGTACCACGAAGTTCGTAGAAATTCTCAGAAGTTCGTAAGACTTCCTTCAAGTTCGAAGAACTTTCTCGAAGATCTGAGGACTTCCCTGTAGTTTGAAGGACTTATCTGAATATATGAGGACCCTAAATTTAGAAGAGCTTCCCTGAAGCTCATAAGGCTTTAAATATCGAAGGGTTTTCCAAAAGTTTGTGGGTCTTTCCTTAATTTCTTGGAAATTCTCTGAAGTTTGGTGAGCTCCCATGAATTTCGTAGGACTACCTGCAGTTCAATCGAGTTTTCGGAAGTTCTAGGAACTTTTTTGAGCTTGGAGAACTATGTTATGTTCAGAGGACTTATTGTATTGAGTATTGAAGACTTCTCTGAAGCTCGGAAAAAATCCATAAGTGTCATAGGATTATCCTTAAGTTTTAAGTAATGCCTAAATTTCGTAGAAGTTACATTAAATCTGTTGAAAATTCTGTAAAATTCGTAGTTATTCCCCAAAGATTAAAGGACTTCCCTGACGTTCGTAAGACTTCTCTGAAATTTGCAGAACTTCTCTGAAGGTTCGGAGAGATTTCCTGACCGTCTAAGGTCATCACAGTAGTTCACAGGATTTTTCTGAAACTTGTTAGACTTTCCCAAATTTTGTAGAACTTGCATGAAGTTCGAAGGCCTTAGTAGAACTTTTTTTATTTAACATGTTGAACAGGTACTTCAAAGTAGTTACGCGTCGGCACTGCTTAAGTCTGCTATCAATTAAGCACAAGTCCAAAACGTAAACCAATCGGGTTTTGATACCATTCTTTAGCACCGCTTGATAGCTACTAATCGTACAGGAAAGTTCCGCATAATCGAGAAAAATCATTAAAAATAACTCGATTTTCCTAACGGCCGATCAACGAAATTTTTCGAATCATTTAAAGGCCCGCACGCTAAAACGGCCAACCATTCAATTATTTCATTTCATTGATAAGCCTAGTGACGTAGAAGGGCCGATGATTGAAAATTACTGGTTGAGGCAGGGCCGATGATTTGTTTTGAATTTATTTGACGTTGCGAAAAGGCTTAGCAAAGGGCGTAGCATTTGTGATGACAAGCACAACGGCTTAACACAAAGGGCCTATCCATTGAAAGATTCGCAAAAAGGCTTATTAATTTAAAAAAATTAAATTGTTATCGATATTTATATATTTTTGAAAGCTTTTCGCATATTTTGGATGTTGTATACTGAGATACAGCTACCATTGTTATTGTGAACAATATAAATGCCTAAAATACTTCAATTTTCTTAAATATGAATTGAATAGCGGTGGAAAAATTTAAAATTCATTTTCGCGTTTGTTTACTTTTTGGTCATAGGCCCATTTCAAATGTTACTCTAGAAAACATACATGCAGTTGATTCGAGAAAAGAATTAAATTAAAAATGAATACAAAATATATTTACCAAATTCTCAGGGTAAATTTTGTTCATCAATGTTTAGTTGTGTGAAAGATTTAGCTTGAACAAAATAGTTAGTTTTGATCTGATTATAAAAAGAAACTTTGACATACATAAAATTTTAAACCTATTTAAATTATACAAACAAGATTATTTTCCTGGTGGACTCATGAAATTCCTGTTTTTTTTCCCGGTTTTTCCTGGTGAAAATAAATTCCCGACTTTTCCCGGTTTTCCTGGTTCACTTGCCACCCTGGGTAAGAGGTGGGACCAACATCATTATAAAAAAAAAAACTTCAAGGGACAGCCCTATGGGGTTGCACGAAATGGTGACGTAGGACTACGTGGTCCTATTTAATAAATGTTATTTTTTAACTGTAGCAGGTGCTTTTATTTTGTGTAGGAATAGGAATTTGAGCGGGGTTCTCTCTGTTTATACTCTTTAGTATGGCGCGCTTGGCATGGATGGCCCACAGCCCACGAAGAGCTACTTATTCCGGTCAATAGCGATGCAGCTTCTGCCTCCTTCTATGGATGTTCATGTGGACTGCAACTCGCTGCTTGCAGGCAGCCTTTCGTTTTTGTACTGGAGAACAATGTTCAACGCCACGCACCGAAAGCACTGCTGCTACTGCTGATGCCGATGACCGGACACCACCACACACGGTGATTGGAACTGAATCCGATTAGCGGTTGCGGCAGCCTTGATAGCTAGCTGCTTGTGGGGAGCCTTTCGTTGGGTACTGGAGAACACCACCACTCACCACGCGGTGATTTTTTTTTCTTTATTTTTGTGATTTTTAGCCGTAGGCTAGTTCATCACATTCGCGGTGATTGAATGAACACCGTTTGGTGAGACCGGATGAAGTTCAACTTTGAAATCCGTGTTAGGGAAATCGCTTTTCGCATGCAATCGATGATAATTTAAATTATCATAGCAACAGTTACACATTTGTGCCATTTTCAATAGTGACATTTTGAATTTAGTCTTAAATTAAACAGATGCGTAGAAATATTTCTGATCGATTGGTGATAAAATTATTGAAATTGGTCCAGGGGCAGCTGAGTTATTAACGTTCAAAATCTTTCATAATGTTGTTACATGTTCCATTTTCGGTTTTCACAGAGTGTACCCTCATATAGAAATTACAGACGTAGTCCTACGTCAAAATATAACCTTTAATAACATATTTTGTTTTGTTTTTTATCTTTATGGCTGCAAAAAACAACTCAGAGTAAAGCTTGGTATGTCTGGACACTCGTCAAAATTTATTAAAGTCTGGGTTGGATGGAAACCATTTGGCTTAATGACCTTCGACCTAATGGCAGGTCGTTCGCTTTATCAATAGGTTGATGTTTGAATCTGAATTATTTAAAATTGGCGCATCAAATGGCGTTCTTATTTCATGCATCATTCCAGCATCAGCTTCAAAAAGGAATTGTTGCCTATTGCTACATATCCACACTAATCGGAATACGGCCCGTAAAAACACCTACATATCATACATTACAGCAGCTTCTCAATAGCTGCGCAGGGGGTAATTTTAATAACCAACCACCTTCGTAGTTGCCGACGTCGACGTCGGTTTGCTGGTATAGCTGCGATTCTGATCGCGAGAGACCGCGCTCACACAACCCTAGAGAATACTATCTCGCGTTTGTTGGGCTGGTATGGCACCTGAGTCGATGTATAGAATAAAGCCCCAATACGTATAGCCGGTACATGTAGGCTCTAGTTATGATCAATGAGCCGTGCAAACGCGCAAAGGGACGACGACCGACCGACCGACGACGGTGTGGTTGAGATTGATTCCGTGTAGATACCGGGCGCCTGTTTGGTATGTCGCAGTTTTTTTGTAAACATCATAAACTTTAGAGCATTGCTCAACGGTGTGGCTGGCACTACCTTTAGCAACAATCTTTTGGCAACTTCAGGTTCGAATCGAAGACTGTTCGCTCGTGTGTCGTGAAAAACGTGACACAGTTCTCGGTCCATCTAAGCACCCAATCAAATCGCCTCGCTTCGCAGTGTGCACATAAGATCCCAAGTCAGCTGCAGTTCTCTTGTGTCAAAGTGGAATTCATTAGAAAATAGCAAATAAAAGTAGTTTTTCCTTTTGTGTGAGCGCGGTACAGCAAGTGTTTAAGTGCGCTAAGAACTCTGAAGAGAAACAAACCCACCCTATTGCTTCGTGCCAGTGTTGTTCCATTCAGGGGGGAAAAAAGTGTGGAGGCGGTCTGTAACTCAGTCAGCAGCAGCAGAGTCAGCACCGGGAGAAGAAAGGTGCTTCGAATTCTCGCGAGGCGGCCCCATTGACCAGACTCAGGTGAGCCTTCTGGTCGCGTTGTTAGTCGCACGTTTCGCGTCGTTGCGTTGGTAACGTTCGGTAAACAGTTTATTGTGGTGTTTTCGTTCGATTGTGTCAAATTGCGACGATTGTCTAATTTTTTTATTACGTGAACCAACACTTCTCTTGCTCTTTCTATCTCGAATAATGTGCACGTTCGTTACGCGGCAAATTAGTACAAACAAACTTATCGGTAGTGATATCAGCTGATAAAGAAAAGTGGGGAAAAAGTTAACGAAGTCGAAAAAACGCATGCTTGTGAGCCAAAAATAAAGATTGCAGCGTTGAAATACAAAAATCACAGAAACGCAAATTGCGACCAAAAGAGATAACGCTGCTTTACGACCTCGGAAAGAAAAAAAAAACCAAAATCGTTGTGACGTCGCAAGTGGGAGATGCGTTTTTCGCTTTGAATCTGAAGAAAAGTGCAGAGAATGTAGCAAAAGGCGAAGCAAATGCAAAGAGTAAGCAAAATTGATATTTTTTCTATTTATTAAGGCAGCAGGGGTGGGAGGGAGAGAGTAGCAGTAGCAGTGCGCACGCGGAAATGGGCGCTAATTAAGAAAGCCTTCGTAGCGCCCAAAATAAAAGTGAAACTGGTGCAATAACCGCTGTGGCCGTTGAGCGGCTGACTAAAAAAAGCCGGAAAAGGTTTGCAAATGAGAAGCTAATTAAATTAAACATTGGAGACGGGAAAAAATTGGGTTTTGCGCGTCAACGAACACCAAGCGTGGAACTGTGTTTTGGAATGTTGTCAACAATGTACAATGTCAGAAATGATCTAGAAAATTACATAAAACGTCAGTTTCATAGAAAAGGAAGATTTTAATTCCTAAAACATAGTATTATTTTATGTTGTGCAAGTTCATAAAGCATAAGTATCCTTCTCTAAGCTGCTGCGATCTTGAGAGTATGTGTTGAGCAATTCAAGCTAACTCACAGTGGTTTTTCAATTTGCTCCTGTCGTGAATTCGGTGTTATTCCAAAAGATCATTTCAGGCATAACATTTGATAACGGCACAAAAGCATTTGTAAACAAACTTTCTTAGGCCCTTTACACGCGAACCAAAGTACGCCCACGCAAACCAGCAACATCATCGGATAGGGGCAACTATCACCTTTCCGAAAGTGGTATTGGTTTGGGTGGGCGTACTTTGGTTCGCGTGTAAAGGGCCTTAGAAAGTTTGTTTACAAATGCTTTTGTGCCGTTATCAAATGTTATGCCTGATTTGCTTCTTTTACTTCTTTGCATCTCAGAAATGCCACACTAGGCAGTTCAACCAACAATCATTACGAAACTAACGATTTTAAATTGGCTCACTACTTGACTAGCTGTTTTGAGAAGACTACTATTTTGCATAATAACAACGGTAAGACAGGAGAATATTTTGAAGGAAATGTTAGCTTGTAACAGATTGCCTTTTATTCTCGATAAATTCGGTAAAAAGATGGAGAAGATGCTTCCGTCCGAATGGAGAAGAACTTGGAGATAATTAATAGTTTTGTGTAGAGTTATTTTAATAACAACTGAATAAAAGAGGGTTTAAGTGATTTCTCTAACTACTTGATGCATTGTTTTCCTGTTTTTCTTATTAAAACGATGAAAAGCTTCCCGTAATTGCCTAATTACTGGAATTCCAAAAAAATGATCCCCATATTTTTCAGCAAAGAAATTACTGATTTTCCAGCAACCATCTGTCAAAAAATATTTGTTGACAAACCAGCAAAATTTACTTTGCTGGAAGGATTGCTGGTTATACAGCTCGGCAAAAAAAAAAACATGAATTTGGCAACAAGATAAACATCAAAGCAATCCTGGCATCACTTGCATTTGTAACTGCTTGCGAGTTACTTCGCAAATGCACCGACGAGCGAGTTCATGAGTGATTGTTAAACGATTTTAATACTCCTCCCTAATTGAAGCAAACCATTTGTAAACATTGCAGATTGGAACCGCTTTTGACAGTTCGATAAGAATCAGTGTCTCCGCTGGTCTCTTATTCCAGTGTTTCTAGTGTGAACCAATCTCTTGAAATTGTGACATCAATCCTTTAAACCACGCTGCTTCTTGAACTGCTGCAAATAGGCATTGGCGTAGCTAGAAAATTTATATGGAAGGGGCCTAGGTGGAGCCTGTTGCATTTGTTCTATTTTGCTAAACTATGTTTAAATAAAAACGCGCCAAGATGCTATTAAATCAAATTGCGTCAAGGCAGCTTGTTTATAGATTTTTTTTTCTGTGACCAATAGTATGACCTTGAAGCTTACTATTATCACAGAGGTAACTCAAAGACCAGAAGGTCACGAAGAAACATGCTCAACTTTTTGGCCCAGCTCTGGTACTATCTTCGGTCCTTAGCTAATCGATGCACCTCCCATTTTATCTGTCAAACCTTCATAGCGAATCAAAACAAATATAGTGTAGTACTAGAATTTCTACTACAATGAGGTACGCTTATAGATGTACTTGGGACGAATAGGCTAGTCAATTATTGAGCCAATTTAAAATCGTTAGTTTCCTTCGGTTGCTATTATTTTAATGGCTGAACAAATTTTTTTTTTTTTTTATCTAGTTCGTTTATTTGGGAGGCTCAATCGCGTTAGCTTTACGGAGCCGATAATTCATTGTTCACTGTGTGTAACAAAATTCACTTAATTCTATGTCTAGTAGGAGTTGGGCCGATTACTCGCGGCTTACTCGAGGTTAGAAGGGTACATTTTCGAAGGATAGGATCAGGGGAGGAGCTTGGGGTAGGGTTTCGTTGTCTCATCAGAGCGTTGTCGCCAGTATGAACGGTAGTGCTGTTCTAGCTTCGTCCGGAGTTCGACCGGCTATGGTGGGTGACCAGTGGGCGACGATGAGACTCATCGAGACGGGGGGACAAGACAAACAAAAACTAATAAAGAGAGACAAAAGACAAAAGGAATTAAATTCTTATACTAGACATTTGAAGAAAAACATAAACGGACTGCATATAGCAGAGATCACGGGTTGCCAACACGTCTCTGATAGGAACATAGGGTTGTCTTCCTTGGGCCTCGAGGGTATTCAAAAGTCGCTCTCTGGCGGCGTCATTATCCGTACATTGCCAAACTGCGTGTTCGATGTCATCGTAACCGTTTCCACACCGACAGATGTTGCTGTCCACGAGGTTTATTCTATTGAGATGAGCATCTAGCGAGTAGTGGTTGGACATAAGTCTACTCATCACGCGAATGAAGTCACGACTTAAGCCCAAGCCTTTAAACCACGCTCTCGAAGAAACATTAGGAATAATTGATGTAACCACCGTCCAAGATTTCCAGTGTCCCAATCGGTTTGCCAACTCGAAAAGGTACTCTGACGCACTAAATGGTAAAATTCATCGTGTGAAATTTGCCTGTCATACAATTCGCCTTCCTGCGCGCCCACCTTTGCGAGAGAGTCCGCCTTCTCATTGCCTGGGATTGAGCAATGTGAGGGGACCCATGCAAAGGTAATCATATATGATCTTTCGACCAGCACACACATCTGCTCCCTTACCTTTGAAAGGAAATAAGATGAGTGCCTACCTTGTTTCATCGACCGAATAGCCTCAATCGAACTGAGACTATCCGAGAAGATGAAGTAATGGTCTGTGGGCATATTGGAAATCATCCCCAATGCGAAGTTGATTGCTGCCAGCTCAGCAACAAAAACGGAACAAGGTTCCTGAAGTTTGCGGAAGGCGCTAGAGTTTTCATTGAAGACACCGAAGCCAGTGGATCCATTGAGACGGGACCCGTCTGTAAAATATCTTTTCATGCAATTGACTTGTTGGTACTTTTCAGTAAAAATACGTGGGATAATAATAGGTCGAAGTTGATCGGGAATCCCATGAGTTGCTTGTTTCATGGTCAGATCATATTCAATTGAGGAACTGCGATTGGTGAAGTGAACACGGTCTGGAGTATAACAAGGAAGACACATATCTGATGATATGTAGTGGTGGTAGATTCTCATAAATCGAGATTGTGTGTTCAACCCAAGAATTTCTTCAAAATTAGCAATTATAAGTGTGTTCGTCACTCCGCATTTGATTAGTATTCTGAGAGAGAGCTCCCAGAAACGGTTCTGGAGGGGTGTTACTCCTGCCAGAACCTCGAGACTCATGTTATGCGTTGAGTGCATACAGCCAAGGGCAATACGCAGACAACGATATTGAATTCGTTCCAATTTTATTAGGTGACTTTTTCTTGCCGAGAGAAAGCAGAAAGAGCCGTACTCTAGAACAGAGAGAATAGTTGTTTTATAAAGCGTTATGAGGTCTCCCGGATGAGCACCCCACCATGTGCCGCAAATTGAACGGAGAAAGTTGATCCTCTGCTGACATTTTTGCTTCAAATACGTAATATGGGCATTCCAAGTGCACTTTGAATCAAACCAGACCCCAAGGTACTTGAAAGACAATGATTGGGTAATGTTTCTGCCCAAAAGATTAAGCTGCATTTGGGCTGGGTGCCGCTTTCGAGTAAACACTACCAGTTCAGTTTTCTGCGGCGAGAATTCGATCCCTAGATTCATAGCCCAAGAAGACAAATTATCTAAGGAATTTTGCAATGGTCCTTGCAAGTCCACGGCATGTGGACCTCTTACGGAAACCACACCGTCATCTGCAAGTTGTCTTAGCGTGCATTGTTCTGCCAAACAGTTGTCGATATCTTTGACGTAAAAGTTATAAAGAAGAGGGCTGAGACATGAGCCTTGGGGCAGGCCCATGTAACTAATTCTGGAAGTTGTCAGTTGTCCAAGGGAAAAGTTCATTTGCTTTTCTGACAACAAATTGTACAAGAAATTATTTAAAATTCCAGAAAGTCCACATCTGTGCAGATTGTCTGACAGAATTTCAATGGAAACTGAATCAAAAGCCCCCTTAATGTCCAAGAATACTGAAGCCAATTGCTCCTTGTGTGCAAAGGCCAGTTGAATATCTGTGGAAAGCAGCGCTAGACAATCGTTTGTTCCTTTGCTCTTGCGGAACCCAAATTGTGTATTTGATAGCAAGTTATTTGATTCGACCCAGTGATCGAGTCTCCGAAGGATCATTTTCTCCAACAATTTCCTAATGCACGAAAGCATAGCAATCGGACGGTATGAGTTATGGTCAGACGCTGATTTGCCAGGTTTTTTAATGGCTATTACTTTGACCTGTCTCCATTCAGGCGGTACAATGTTGTTTTCTAGCAAGGAATTGAATAAATCTAGCAAGCGTCTTTTAGCGATATCTGGGAGATTTTTCAGAAGATTGAATTTAATCATATCGCTTCCCGGTGAGGAGTTGTTCGATGAAAGAAGAGCCATAGAGAAATCCAGCATTGAGAATGGTCTATCCAGAGAGCCGCCGCTAGGAGACGCTTCTCGAAGAATATTTTGTGCTGGAACTGAGTCCGGACAGACCTTTTTAGCGAAATCGAATATCCATCGGTTGGAGTATTCTTCACTCTC